AGCCCAAAGCTGACTCCCTGGTGACTAGCCTCAACCTCTCTGCTTCACATATGCTCAGCTGCCTGTGATCCCTGCCGCCTCCACACCTCTGCCCACTCCATCCTGGGCCTTGAGATCTCCTGGACCATCCTGGCCTCAGGAACACCCAGCCAGCTTCCTAGCCTCGGTCCTGTCCATCCTGTTCCCCAGGCAGCCCGCTCATGTCCCCATGATACCCTGGGCTCAGGGCCACGGAGGCCCCTCAGCCCTGTTTGGCTTTCCTCATCTGCTCTCTCCACTAGAACGGCAGAGCCTGTGCGTACCCACTTTGCTGAGGACGCTTCCTGTAGCTAGCAGTCACTTAAAACGTGTTTCTGAATGAACGATCCAGGCGAATAATCTCTAGATTTCCCTTCTCTTGTTGTGCTTGGAACAGTTTCAAAGAATCATTAAGTTTTATCTGTCACAAAACGGAGCCAACTCTTAGGAGTAAGAATGGACAAAAATCTCTTAAGTGTGAAATAGTAGGAGGTAAAAATGGATTGGTCTCTGGTTTTCCTGAGACTTCTTACTCAGTCTGGAAAGCCAGACATCCCAGGAATTTTCCACCCGACTCCCTCCCACTTCCCAGGTTTTTAAACATCTCTCCCTCTGGTCTAGTCCCTCCCTGGGAGGCTTCGGATCTAGGCCATTCCTATTTATAATCCCTTTCCTTTTGCTGATAAATCAGGACACAGCCTGGCTCTGCAGGTCACCATGGAGGGTAACACATTCTCGGCCTCAGATACTGGTTGGAGAAGGCTAGAGGCTGGTGTGGGTCTGATGATGGGGCCTTGGAGGACCTTGGGACAAGCCCAGGCTGTGCAGCACAGGCACAGTGCAGAGGCTCAGGAATCCCCCACGGCAGCCCTTTCACTCCAGAGGCCTGCTACCTGGTGAACACAGCAGAAGGTAAACAGGGCAGCCTGCAGCACACCGAGGCCAGGCTGCTCTCCTGGGGACTGGCAGGCAGGGCCCACTCCCTGCTTGCTCCCTGCCCTCTGACTCTGCCATGCCTGCTGTGCCAGGCCTGGTGCGGGGCACTCCCACGTCCATAACAGCATCTCTCTGACAAGCAAGCCAGGGACCTGCGGATGCGGACCCCACTTACACGGTAAGGAGGCAGTGGTGTCTAGAGCTGGAGCAGCTCTGTCAGTCTGAGCGCTGTAGCTGGAGAGCCAGCTTCCCTTGAAAAGATGGCTACAGACTCATTCCTCAGAGCTACTGAGGAGGGAGAGCTCACCCTCCCCCAGGTCTCCTTCCTCTCCCTGCCTGGTTCCCAGCAGCTCCTGACTGCACAGAGGTGCTCTCTGAGGCCTTTGCCTGTGTACAAACCCCTGCCTTCCCTTGGCCAACTCCACCCATGACAAAGGCTGATTTCAACATACATTTTTTTTTCTCCTTGAAATTTATTTCTATTCTAATTTTCTGGAATTTTATAACAGAGCATAGTTCTTATGTTTGAATGGCCTTTACTGATCACCATAACGTCATCCTCTATAGCCAAGATGTATATCTGAAGCACAGATTCAATTCTTTCCTTTCCTGATTTAATGCTCTGGAGCAGTACTTCTCTACCTAACGTGACTGACACTTTGGGCAGTAATTCTTCATTGTGCAGGAAGCTGTCCTGTGCACTGGGATGTGCAGATAGATCCTGGGCCTGGGTGCTGGTAGGATATCCCCCCTATCTTGAGTCAAGACAACCGTAAGTGTCTCCACTACTGCTAAGTGGCTTAGGGTGGGGAGGGGGCAAAACAGCCTACTGCTCAAGACCAGGCCTTCTCTAGAAGCATCCTCCAGTCTGAATGAGGCCTTCCTGCGCCTGGCTGCTACAGCATCCTGAGCTCACCTCTACCATGCACTCTGTAGGCTGTTTACTACTTTAGGTTCACTTCCCTGTCTTGCTCATGAGATTAGAAACTCCATGGGTGTAAGGGTCTTGCCTTAACACCCAGCTCTGTGCTGTAACCACGGATGGGTGGTAGACTGCCTGGGGGCCAGATGCCAAGTCCCCAGCACCGCCAAGCTGCCAGCTCCCCCTCTAGTCTCCTCTGGTGGTTCTTTCTTTCTCCGCCCAAGCAGGGACCTCACCTGGCTCTTTCCTCATTGCCCCAACACATTCAGATGCCTGCTTTTACTGGACCCATTTCCCAGGGTCCTCCACTCAGGGTCAGATGTTCTGGGCTGGCCAGTTTAGCCTTAAAACCCAGGGCTTCCACTGCCTTGAGGTCTCCTTCCTGGCCAAAGGCAGCTGACTCCTGCGTGGATCAGAACTGGGGAGGTGGGCCAAGAACAGTGATGAGGCAAAGGTGCGTGGCCCCCACAGTCAGACCAGCTGACCAGAGCCTGGTGTTCACTGTTTGTCTTTAGTTAGGTACAACATACATTCAGTAAGAAGTGCTCGTGTTAGGGGTATAGTTCAGGAGCCCTGCTGTTTTTTTTTTAATATTTATTTTTTAGTTGTATCTTTAATTATTTTATGTGGTGCTGAGGATCAAACCCAGGGCCGCGCCTGTACTAGGCGAGTGCTCTACCATTGAGCCACAACCCAAGGGGCCCTATTTTTAAAGAACAAATACCAGTGGACATATACATCCTGAAGGCAAAAGCAAGACAGCTTTTCTACACTTTAGTTCCCTCGTGTGTCTGTGGGAGTGGACTGGACAATTGCAAGTGGCATGGCTCTTATGTGTTACTGATATTGATAATGTTTATACACATCGGAAAGCTAAGCAGAAAAATATCATTGTGTTGCTTATTTAAAATGTTTACCATTCATGCCCAATTTCTAAGAAGTCCAGTAAATACTGTGAATAACTAGCTGGAACTCTGACTCTAAATACCTGCTGTTTGCATCTATCTCGCTTTTCTGTTTGCCTGTGCTAAATCTCCCTCTTCCTGACTGCTTACCGTTCCAGGCCCAGCAGAGGATCAGCTCTCCAGGGGAACTACTATATGTCTAGCTTTCCTGTGGAGCTCAACATCCAAATCTTGCTCAGAATGGGTCCCTTCAGCCAGCAGTAAGTCAGCAAATGTCCATTTACTGCCCACAAGGTGCATGGCCGCAAGCTCGGTGCAGAGAAAGGGGGAAAGGAGAGCCAAGGTCTGGGTTCCTGAGACTCGCCATCCAATGACAGGCCTCCTGGCCTCCTCACTCTGCACTGCCTTTTAAAGCTACAGGGCTGTTCCTCAGGAATGCAAACACTCAGGGCTGGGCTATTTTTACTTCCCACCTCTGCTTGAGGAACCTGGCTCCTGGGCCTGTTCCTCACTCTGCATGTCACCATCTTACTCACCCATCCACCCTCTGAGCAGATTCTCACTCTCTGCATGTCTGTGGGGACATCCTCCAGTTCCCGGCTCCGGATCTCTTCTTCCTCTTGCTCTTCTTTCAGGGTCAAATTGAGAGGGTAGGTAGTGGACTCCATATCTAAGAGCAAGATGCAGTTCAGACCATCAGGTGTCAGTGTGTACTCTCCAAGGCCCACAAGAGGAGGCTCAGCCCCTCCTTCCTCTTCAGCCCAAGCACTGCTCAGGCTAGAAGGGAGGCAGGGAACAGGGTCAGGCCTGGGCAGGAAGGACTTCAGTGAAAACACCAGGAAGCTGGCAGGTGGCATATTTAATTATGATAAGAGGGACTGTGGGCAGATAACCTATCTGGATGCTTTCAAATATTTAAGAAAAGCTTTCTGTGACAGAGAGGCCAGACCGGTTGGTAGAGATGGCAGGGTGGAACCCAGGCCAGGGGTAAGTGTGCTGGGAAGGTTTTGAACACTAAACTTACAGGCAGAACTTTCCCGTACCCAGGGCTGCCCAGGCAGGGAACCATCACACAAGATGGGTGTGAATTTCTATACCTGAAGGTGTCTGGACACAGGGCACTTACTCACCTGGTGTGTGTGTGCGTGTGTGTGCGCGCACGCGTGTGTACCAGAGGCCAGTTAAGAAAGAAGGATGGCTGGCCCAGAATACCCATCATCTGGACTTTCCAATTTCCAAGGTTCCGTCCAAGAGCCAGTTCAGAAAACAGTCATTCTGCTTTAAGGGACTCTGCAATCCGGAGAGTCGGTGATACACAGTGAGGGGGACGCCTGGACGCCCAGGAGGGCGCAGGGATCCGCCGGGCCCACCCGCCCGGCCGGCTGGCGGGCCGGTACAAAGCGCCCGCTCTGCCCTCTAGGGGCGCGGGCAATTCCTGGGCGTGCAGTGTGTGCATCGCGGGCCACCTCCGCCCAGCCTTCCAAAGAAAGGGTCCTTCCGGAGTTCGCGCTCCTGCCTATCTCCAAGAGGACCAGCGCGGGGGCGTCAGCGCCCACAGCCGGGGCCGAACTTGGCGG